AGGAGAGAAGGGAGAGAAAAGGGGGATCTTTTGGTTGTATTTTTTATTTTTAGTGTTTTTATTCATCGAGTAATTGATACAAAATAATTTTATTTTGAGATAAAAGAAATATGTAGTAAAATATTACATATTAAAATTCATTATATCAATATAGTTATACTTTATGAAAACATCACAATTAAAATATAAAATTTTTAAAATCAAATCTTTAGATCTAAATCATTTAATGATTCGTCCTATGACCATCGAAATTGGTAGGGACTAACATACACAGACAAACCTGGTAAATTGACACTTTATGAGACACAGGAGTCCCCCCATAACTGAGTCATGCAGAATGTGACTGTATAGCTGGCAGAGGCAGCACGTTTAAAATGCAACCCAAAAAAACCACATCATGAATCAATAGAAAAATGTGGCCAAGGATTTTATTTATTGAAAATAGTGTTTATCTTATTTATCTTTTAAAAATTAAAAAAAATATTATTTTAAAATTATATTATTTTAATAAATATTTATTAAAAAATAAAATATTTTATTTTTAAAATATGAATTAAAATATATATTTTTTAATTTTTTAAAGATAAAATGAATTAATATTAATCTCTTTTTTATTTTAACATTTTATAAAAAAAGAGAGAGAGATAATAATTCGGTCTGTAAAATTTTTTCCTGATGCGTTTGAGAACTTTGGGTAACTTTTTGTAGCATGTAGTGATAAGTTGGTTCAATAATATTATAAGTATAATGTTATATAAAATTATAAAATTATAATGTTACGAGATATTTAATAAAATATAATAAAATATTAAATAAATAAATATAATATTATAAATAAAATTTTAAATAAAAAATTAATTATATAATAATATATTATATTATAAATTTATAATATTATATAATATTATAATTATAACATTGTAGTAAGTGGGGTGTACCCAACATGGGTCTTTTTTTTTTTTAAATAAAATAATAAAAGTGGAATTCAAATTTCAAATCCATAAAACAAAAAAGAGAAAATGCACTTTCAAAGTGACCAAAGTTTCAGGTGACCCAACATGGGTCTATAAAAACGGAAATTACAAAATCATTCATGTGATGATTTTTGGCAGGAACACGAATTCTCATTGACTGTAATTTCTTTGACCGCCCGTGCTGATAATGGAAAGATACAAATTCGGGTCGAATAGAAGAGTGTTCATAACAAAAATTTAAAATAATATATATAAAGGTAGTGTAGAATAAATTTTTTTTAATAAAAGACTCATTTAAAAGTTTATATTTTAATTAATATTTTT